ATGTACATGATATGCCTATTTTTTGCTAATTTAATTCCTTTTTTAAAACTATGTTGAAGGATTATGTATCTTACATTTTACTCAGTGTCGAGCATTGGCAATATTCCAGGAAAATACTAAGGGGAATTGTTACAGGTGAAATACTTCTGTTTCATATTCCTATGAAACAATTGATTTATATTATTTACTTACTAATTGATGCAACTGACAGAAAATTTCCCTTAGTTTTAAAACTAAATTTCCAAGTATTCAATTCATATTTTTATATTTTTATATGTGTGTGTCCTCGGACAGTAAATTTCCCTTTATAAAAATCTGCTTCCTAAGTAATAAGGACTAGGTATCCTTTTGCCTTCATAGTTTTGTTTTGACAAGGTGTTAGGCACAACCCCAGGTCTCATTCAGTTGTGCTTGTTTGAGAGCATTCTCATTTATCACAGCACCAAAAATGCCAGCTCCAGTACAGAGAACTTAAGTGCTAAACTTAACTCATTCATCCATCACACCTCAACTAAAACCTGAAGAGCTACTTGCAATTCCAATTGATTGCCAAATACTTCACATTAATCAACGTGCTAATTCCATGACTAAGTAACAGATTATGACTAGTGCCAATCATTTTAGAGAACACAATTTCCAGTCTTGCTGCTCATTTTATTTTTGGAGGTTGAAATGACAATTTGAAGTGCAAGCTTTCAGAATATCAAAACCTCTTCGAAGAAGTGGATGGTGATAAATGCCATGAAGACAAGTGCCACTTGAATAAACGAATGAATTCATGAATCATCCCCAGGGATCAGAACTTGTCTGTGCTGTGTTTGGTTACCCGACAACATGCTAAATGGATCTAATAACAGAGTTCTATAGGAAGTTATCACCTATTAAATTAGTCCTTGAACTTTGTTATAAATTAATACACAGACAAGTGAAATGACGTGTATCTGGAATCTTCCTTATTTTTCTCAATCCCGTGTGTCAAATGATGAAAGAGTATGCAATTATTGTTTTAAAAATTACAAACCAAAGTGAGACTCTATGATGATAAAAAAGCAAACAGGTGACAGTGGTGTGTGCATGACAACTCCATGCATCTCACGTGTGATGCTTTTTCTGTCATCACTAACATCAGTTTCTCTGTGGGACTACACTATTCTCTCAAACCATAGAACTGGAAATATGCTTGTTAACTTGTGTTTGTAATACTACCATGGTAGTATCACAGTGGCAATTTCATTCTTTGTAATATTCTAAGAAATTTTACTTTTGTGAATAAAATTTTGAGACCTTCTCTTTCCTGATTGTAAGTATGATTTTGTGGATGGCTACATGAAGGAAAGGATTAGTTCGTATTCCTGCTGGATTCCCTGGTGTGTGTAGCATTCACGCATGTCTCTCTTCCCGCAACGATCTCATAAATAAGCTCATTTATGACTGATGCTTATAAATGATAGGTCAAAGCGTTTTCCTGCAGCTAATCCCTGGTTACTCATCCATGGAATTAAAAAGTCTTCAGAAAAAAAGCATCACTACAAAAGACTGGCTTACCCTATTTTTCAAAGTAAGAAAAATAAGGCAATGAGAATGAGATATTAACAGATATGTTAATATTAAGAGACCAAGTCTATGTTTTCAGACTATCCCCCAAAGAAGTGAAACAGTGTCAATTTCATCACAGGCTATACTAACGTTGCTTAATGTATACATATGAATGTAATAGCAATAATCATTGAATACCATTATGGCATTCAAATGAATATGCTTTTAAAAGAACTTCCATCATTGGCAATGAATATTAAGGATGTCATCCTTGGGATAGTTTTATAAAAGAACAGAAGAAATGCACTTTCCTTCAAATTACACGTTTCCCTGCAATTACCATTAAAATATTGCAGTAAACCACAGTCAATTTCTGAAATAACTGTACCATAATATTTTGATTTATTTGGTTTGTAATTTTCTTTTTAAAAAGTTTATTAAATATATAGGGTAAATTCCATGGATCTTGTAGGTGTAATTCTGAAAAGGTGATAGTTTATTCCCACCCTTAGCTACCTTTCTGTTTTCCATTCTTTTTTTCTTGAATTCTTAATAAAACATGATTTCAATCTATTCTATAATTACAGAGTGCAGCACTAACAAGAGCATTCAATCAGAACAAAGTAAAAAAGTCGGAACAGTCATGACTCTCTTACCAAAGCCATGGTGCAAGATGATAAACGCAATGAGAATTACGGCATTCCATGATGGCAAACTAGTTTTATTTTTGTTTGGTTTTTCAAAAAGACTTATGCATATGTACAAATATGTGAATTTATAAGGTGTGTTTGAAGATGTAGAATCAACTGATTTCTGCAGATTGGTAGTTAAATTAGCATACCACTTCCAAATAGTGTTATATAAATATACAAACTTCTATTCAAACATTTACATATATATTTATGTGTTTTAACAAGAAAGCAAAACTTGGGAATGTTTTTTCCTGGCATATAAACCTTATTCATAACTCACCATAAATTTGAAGGACGGTGCTTCACTTAAAAGACACCTAAGCTTCTCTTCACAGAAAAAAAAAAAAACTATGCTTCATTTCAGGAAAAGTAATATTAATATATTACAGAAGCAAATAGGTTTTAAAACATACATGTATTTACATGAAAATGAACATAAATACTGCCACTAAAAATAGTATAAGGTTTAATTACATGGTTGATTGTAGGACTTTACTAATTTAACAAAATGAGAGCAAAATAAAATTCTCATGGGAGAAACACATTTTTGGAAGTTGTAATTTTCTTTATTTCTATGTAGGTAATCTCCTAATTCTGCTATTTTGACTGATAGAATTCAAAATTTATGAATCTTGAATAAAATTATTTAAATGGAAATAATGTCATCACATAGTTAGCAGATTGGAAAAATAAAAATAAATAGTCCAGGAAGGACATATTTAATTTGCAGTATATACGTTCTGGGGTGTTTAGTCAGTATCCATGGTGTTGCTTGTGACTGTGAAAACAATTTCTAAGGGGATGAATGAGGGTGAAATATGCAGGAATGGAAAGAGTTGCTGTGCTGGAGAAGGGAAATAAAACCAAGCAAGGGTCACTGCAGGAGTGTGCTTGCAATTCTCTGCAAGCATTTTATGGAATATTACTCTATAAAGGAAGTCAGCCTGAAGTTATTAAAGGAAAGAAAGTTAGCCGGTGCTGTCTTCATAGTGTTACAGCCATTTTAGTGGTAGAATGATGAACTATGTCATGTAAACTCAAACCTGCAAGAACTTGACAATCTTAAAGTTTTAATAGGATGGAAACCTGGCTGTGTCCTCTGCTTTCTTTGTTCAAGCCTCTTCTACTCATAAAGACAGGTATAGCTGCAAATCTTTCCAACTGCTACTCTGGAAAGTGCCTTGTGGATGCAATCTTGCAAAAGCAAAATATAGAAATATATTTTTAAGTTTGTGCAACTACATAGCAAACACAGAAGCAATTAAAATGAGAATGTTACCAACTAAAAATTAAAGTAGGAAGTCTTAGAACAACAAAGCCAGAGCAAATTCCTTTGTGTTGGGAAGGTATGGACTGGGTGTGCATGATATAGGGCATAAATCCAGAGTCCATTCCATGTGTAGGTCTTCAGCAAGACTGCAACACTGCAGATACAGACTTACAGCAGAATCACATCACACATGAGCAACAAGGCATCTGCATGTTTTCTGTGTTTATATTTGTGTACAGACATTTATTATAACCTATGCTCTGTTTTTAATATAATTTTAAATGTTAAAACCAAAACGTGAGGTTTGTTGTTTTCTGCTAGTTCCCTAATTGTGGCTACACTGCATTTGAACAGAATAACAAAGATACTGCCAACAGATTGGACATTATGTGCATGAGAAGAAAAGTATTTTTTAAAACTGATGTCTCTATAAAGCTCTTTTTAGCTGACATAGATCCTTTACTCACACATCTGCATCCTCCCACTCAAGAAATCATTTAATCTTAGATTATTCTATCTTAGAAAATTCACTACCCTTTCTTTCATATGTCCTACATTATAAATTACAGATCATTGAAACATTACAGCACACATTCTTAATCATTGGTTTGTCAGATATAAGACACAGTTTTACAAACTGAAGAAGAATTAAAATTAAAATTAAAATTAGAATTAAAAATTAAATTTATTATCAAATAATTTAAAAATATGTAAAAATGTAATCCTTACTTAATAATGAGTTTTGGAATTAATAAATCTTTAAATATTTTGTATCATATTTTAGCTACAACCAATTCTGAAAATTATTGATACACTTACTAAATTTTAAAATCAAATATTTCATATAAGAACTATCACATATACTTAATTTTTAAAATGCTCATTTAAAATATTTTACATGGAATACATGGTTCATCTGTCTATTTTTGCATTTTATTTTATTCTGAAAATTAAAAGCTACAAAAATATACATGCAATGTGAATGTCGTAGGGATTCAAAATAGAACAAATTTGATCTGTATTTTTTTGGCCTTAGTAAATTGATTGTATTACATAATAATAAATGAAGATATATATCAGTTTTCTAAATTATCATGCATAATGTTTAGGCAATATTAAATTAATTTGGAGAAGTAATAAAGTAGAAGATTTGACATAAACATAAATTTGTGTGAAAAGTCTTTATAGCTTTATATCTGGCTATTAAAGAACATTAAAAAGAAATAATTTACATGGTAAAAATTTAATTTTAATTTGAATTTTAACATTAGAGTACTAAATTGGGAATAGTTGATCTTGTTTTATTTATATTAATCACCTAATACACCATTTCTAAATAGAACATTATTATCCACTTGATTGCAATTTATTCCACTAATTTTATCTTCTAAAGCCTCATTACATTAATTTGTTTTAAATGACAAAGCATTAGCAGAACATTTCCATTGCCATGATGATTAATCAGTCCAGAGCGAAAGTTGTTACCAAGGAAGCATGCCTACCATGGTTGTCTCTGCAATTGAGCCAAAGCTGTTTATGAATATGTTGCATGTGACATTGACTGGAGGGCCTGAAAAACATAAAGACATAAGGACTGTTTAGACACATATCTAGGACTGTTCAAATCATCCAGTGCTTCTGCTTAGTGGTGAGAAATTATTTATTTATATATGCATATCCCCAGATGCGCAGAATTGGAGGCTCTCACTCCATGGCACATTCTGAATGGAGACCCGCCGCAGTACACAGGCGTCCTTGAACACTGGGCGCTGGCCTTTGTGCAAAGGAATTCACCCTGTCTTGCTCTCCTCTCCCCTGATCTCTTCACTCATACAGGTCTGCTTAGTCCAGCATCTGAGTCCTTTAAAGACAGTTTTGGTTCATCTTTTTCTTCAGGTAAGTGCAATTTTCTGACTCTGCTCATGTCTCGTAGATTTCTGCTGAAAATCAGATCATTTTGATGAGAAAATGTGACAATACTCGTAATCTGACTGCCTTCATCTCCACCCCCAATGTTTGTTGCTGTTTTTAACTGGTTTTTTTTTTTTCCTTTGATGTCAGGGACTTCCCTGAACTGCAATGTCTAGATGTCTATATGCTATAACATCACTGAACTCTATCGGGTGAGCTTAGTGATCAGTGGTTGGTCAGAGATCTCTCTAACTCCAGGAGTCACTCAATTAGTCATTCTTTGTGCTTTATTTTTGGGAGGCAATGGCTTCTATGTTGAGGCAGTTAACAACTCTGCCTTACCCTTTACCTCTTGCTTGCCAAAGGCCTGAGGGTAGACAGAGAAGAGATTGGATTAGGACATTCCTGGCCACATATGTCACCTTGTATGTGGGTCTTACCTGTAGATCCGTAAGAATTGGCCAGGACTCCTCCAAGCTGCCTGCAAAGATTTCACACCAGATTTCACAGTTTGTCATGTCTTCCCCTCCCAGCCTTCTCTCCCTTACTGGGGTCACAGCCTTAAGCAACTGTGATGATGAGTAATTTTCTAGCTGTTTTCAACAACTCTGTGTATAGGAAATTTTTCCCAGCAAGCAATTCCTGAGTCAAACTGAGTAATTAAAGCCCTTTAGGTGACACGTTTCCAAGGAGTTGCAAGCCAAGTCAAACAGTGATACAGCTCTGGGTATGGACATCTGGAGGAGAGCCAGACGTGGTTAGTTGCTCTGTGATGACTGACAGCTTTCAGTAGTTTAAAGGCTGCAGGACTTCTGGGCTTCTTTGGAGCTGGAGATGAGACCACGTGAAAATGCTTTCTTTTCAGTATTTCTTCAATGAATACTTCTCAGACCGTGCAAAGTTTTTTTGTCTCTTTGTTTTTGGAATTCCAAAGGCTACTTTTGATAATCCTAACAGTGTTTTTCATTGCTATTTCAGAAGAATGAAAAAAATAGAAAAGCCACATACAAAAACTTATTTAAGCCTTATTACTTTAGATTATTTACTGGGCCTCTACTGACCAAAGTTGGCTGTAAAAGAAAGGGCAGGTCCATATACTACTGTCAATTATCCTTTTTTACAGATAATAATTTCAACTCATTTAAAAGATTCTTTGAGTGTTTACCTGAATTACTTTAAATAATATGCCTATTTTGATCTTTTTGTTTGTTTTTTGGTTTAGACAAATGCTCTCATGCTCACAAAGAAGATAAATTCTGGGTGTTGGTGTGGTAGCATAGCAAGCTAATCTTCCCTTGTGGTGCCAGAATTCCATAAAAGTACTTGTTCATATTCTGGCTGTTTTACTTCCACACCATTGCCTGCTAATGGCCTAGGAAAGCAGTGGAGGATGGCCCTAGGCCTTGGGTCCTTGAACCACTGGGAGACCTGGAAGAAACTTCTGGCTCTCCCCCTTTGAACTCATCCAGCTCAGCTCTGGATGTTACAGCCATTCTGGTTGTGAAACAGTGGATGGAGGATCTCTCTCTCTGTCTCTTTCTAACTCAAGTAAAAATAAGTAAATCCTTTTTTAAAAAACTTTTTTTAGATAATTTTTGACAATTGGTGCATGAGACTGTGTAGCTCCCGAGAATTTTGTTTTCCACAGAGGTGGAAATCTTTATTTATGTCCTCACTTTATTTCCAGCTATATTAATCAAATATTAATTAATTTGTGAAATAGAAATACAGAGAGGGAGAGAAAGAGCTCCTGTATGCTTATTGGTCACTCTGTAATAGTCCCAGTGCCAGGACTGGAGACCAGGCTGAAGGCAGAAGCCAAGAACACAGTTATGGTCTCCCACATGGTTGTCAGGGAAACAGCTACTGCTAGCACTTGTTGCCTCCCAGGGTGAAAATTAGCAGGAAGCTGGAAATTGGAGCTGGAACCTGGGAATGAATTCAAGCCCATTGGTATGGAATGTGGACATCTCAACAAATGCATACTTTTGACTTCCTATTCAATACGCAGCTAGGTTTGGAAGAAACTTTCACGATGGAAATTATTTTTTCCTTCTAAATTTTGAAGGCATGCCTTCATTATCTTCTATTTCCCAGAATTGCCACTAAAACATCTAAAGATACTATGATTCATAATCCTTTGCAAATGGTCTATTTTTATTTCTAAAGGTAAAATTATATTCTATTTGTCCTAATGAATTTAAAAAATTATTAGTTTTAATAGTTTGATAGAACAATTGAGGTTTCAGTATATACTTACTTGATTATTGGTGCCCAATTTTCCTTCTCATTTGCTTTGTCTTTCCTAGATGGTAATTTAGCTTACTGGATTAAGCAATACAATTATTTTAAAACTAGGTTTATCAGGTATCTGAGTTCTATTTTGTGCATTTAAAGCATCTGGACAATCTTTTAAAAAAAGCTAATACTTATCACCTTCTGTTTAGTTGCTATGACACACAACCAAACAGTAATAATTTTATAAACACTTTCTTTGGAATTGGAATGTACAAAAATGTATGGAGAGCACTACTCTAAAGACTTCTATACTAATCTATGGATATAATTTTCTAACATATATTTAAAATGAAATGTAATTTTCTTAGAAATACAGAACTATGGAGAAAGAAATCAGGGATTAGAAGCAGTTAAAAAACACAAGGCTAATAATTTTTATGAGCGAGTTCTCTACTATAAATGTGATGAACGCTGATGGTAAAATAGCATAGCTATTATGAACTTAACAAGATCTCCAAGTTTGTTAGGCATGGAAATTTCTGGGACATAATACATGCATAGATAGTAAACTGGTTTAAAAACCAAGGATGGACAAGCAGTAATAAGAAAACCTCAGAAAATTCCTGAATCCTGGAGATACTATCTTTATTTGATTACCAACTAATATCTCATTTTAAAAACTTAAACATACATGTCTAAATATTTACAGATTTCTAAAATTAGAAAGATGGCAGGTGTTTCCGTTATGTTGCTGAGACAAGAGAAATCATTAGTTGCTGTATTATTTTTTATTTTTAATTTTTTTAGGATTTATTTCTTACTGGAAAGTAAGAGCCACAGAGAAAAGAGCCAAGACAGAAAGAAAAGAGAAATCTTCTATCAGTGGTTTATCGCCCCAATGGCTGTAGTGACCTGGGCTTGGACTGGGATAAAGCCACAATTCCAAAGTGTCTTCTGGGTCTTCCAAGTGGATTCAGGGACCCACGTATCAGCAGAGATATGGGTCACAAATGGATCAGCCTCGTCATGAAATAGCAGAGGCTTAGACTGTTGCACCATGATTCTGGCCCCAAGTCTTTCTTACTAGGCATTGTAAGGGAACCTCCCACAACGTGCATTAGGAAGTAGCATTGTAGGAGGCTAGACTTAATCCTAGATACCCTTAATGTGGGATACAGCATCACAAGAGATACGTTAACCTGCTGTACCACTAGATAACTTAGATGTGTCAAAATGATATTCGTGTATTTAGAGTTTATCTCAGGAACACTTGGTATTTGTTACAGATTCTTGATTCCGGTTTTGCAGCAAATAAGTGACACTAGAATTGATTGCATGGATGGAAGAAAGCTTGGAGACAGAAATACACAAACTTAATAACACAGGTGAAAAAATGTCAGGACAGGGCCAGTGGCAATAAATAGCAAGAAATACGAGGAAGACAGAATCATAAATTTTAAGCATTGCTGTGGTCTACATTTTAGTTTCTGATTCAGATTAGAGCAGCAATTTTGCAATATTCATTTTCCCTTTGTGTATACTCAAAACTTTTTTAGAGAATGAAGCTCACAGCAAATTGTGAATCTTCTACTGCCATTACTGAGAACACCTGTTTAGCAGTTCTTGGCCAACCTGCTACTTCTCTGTGCCAGTGCAAAAGCTGTTATATCCATTCAAAACACTACTATATTTAGCAACAGAGAAAATAACTGTTATGGCATCCATATGGCAAAGAGTGCTTTTAAATTGTTCATTACATTAGCCGTAGTTGGCCAAAAAGCAAATGTCAGTAGTTGCAGATGTCTTCAGGAGAATGTTTTATTTTGTTTTCATACATTCTTTTAAAGAAACAGAGATAAACTGGTGGCAACATAAGAAAATATGATGTAAAGCCTTTGTCATGATATTATTATTATTTACATTTCAGAAATTATTCATCTGGCAGATCTGTAGTAAGAAGCAAATAAATGAAAATGTCATAACTGAATAAGAATCATGCTATGGGATTTTAAACATTCAAAATCATTCGATATGGATATAGATCATTTTACATAAATGCACATGTACATGTGTATCTCACCAGGGAACATGAGATTTACTGAAATAATTATAAATGTTATTTACATAAACAATATTGTATATTTCTTCTTTATTTTAAAAGAAGAGTGAGAGAGAGAGGTGGGGAGGGAAAGGAAAGGACGGAGATGCATCTTCTGCTCACAGAAATGCAAGTACTTGTGCTACAATACTGCCTCTTAGGGGCTTTCATAATAAGTAGTTACCAGAGTGAAACAGCTGAGAACAAAGAAGGCACCCTCATATGGCATGCAGGTGTCCTGTACTGTAATGTCCTCCTCTGCTTTGATTTTTAATCAACAAAACATATTTGACAATTTTGATTTTTCCAATTATTTATTAGGTGATTCTAACTGATTTGTAAATTATAGCATCAAAAAAATCCAGTTTATTCTTTTCCTTTATATTTATCTTCCCTTCTTGTTCCATCCTGAAAGTAAAGCCCCGGAACCACTCAGGCAAGGAGTTTAAGGTGACTACAGCTGAGAGGAGAGCGGTAACTGAGAGAGAAACATGTCTACAGGATGCTGAGCCACCTGGTGTGCGTGTTAGACTCAGGGAAGGAAGAGCAGAGGGTTTGCACAGGTGCATCCTGGCATGCAGAGTCGGAGGCTGAACAGGGAGAAGAAAATGAGCAAACTTCTAGAGTCCCATGAAGGTTAACAGGACACTTGAGCAGGGAGTGGTTTGCTACATACTGATCAATCAAATAATTGTTTTGAGAATAAAGGGACCAAATTTCCTCCTGTCGGATGAAACTAGAAAACTTCAGCGGTAACAGAGATACCAGTGTGAATTTGAGGTTTTCAACAGAAGAAAATGCACAAGTAAATATGTGTGTGTGTGTGTGTGTGTGTGTGTGTGTATTACCACTGCAGTGTTTACAAGTCCTCATTAATGTTTCAGTCTCAGCTTGTCATTGTTTTCCATTGATACTAGGATGTCTTGTGGTCAGATATTTCTCCTCATTCTGGTTAGAACAAGTTAGACCCAATAGGGCTGTCTGAATCACTCCCAGGAGACTTTAAAGTCTAGTATAATCTAATATTCACACTAACGGTCACTCCCACCAGCATTATGACTGCTGATTAATTGCTGTGACAATAACCAGAAGTGATCAGAAGACAAAAAGAAGGATCTCCAATTCCAAGGAGTAAACTATCATTTCCCCAAAAAGCATAAATATGCCTGCCTTATTTATTTATTCATTTATTTATAAAGATTTTAAAATAAATCTTTAAAGAAAGAGATGTATGTATTTTTGTTAGAGTGACGTATTTATAAGAAGAAGAGAAAGAGAAAAAGAGCTTCATGTGCTGGTTCACTCTGTAAATGGCCGCTAAGGCTGGAGCCAGGAGTTTCCTCTGGGCCTCCCACGTGAAGGCAGCGTCCCCAGGTTTGGGGCCACCCTCTGCTGTTTTTCCAGGCTACAGTGAGGAGCTGTGGAGCAACTGGGACACAACCTGTGCCTGTATGGGACACCTGTGTTTAGGGGGAAGGACTTTTAACATACCTTTCGTTTTCATTTTGCAGCCCCGTATTTATGATTCCACAGCACCCAAGTGATGGGAAAGATGATTGGTTATTAAGACTCTCCCCTCTACCTCATTTTTAAAAATTCTTTATTTTATGATACAGTTTAATAGGCACTGGGGTTTACCCTCCCTTCCCCGCCCCTCCCTGCAATGTTCTCCACTTCAGTCTTTCCCTAAGTGTCTTCCGTGTGCCCTCAGAAGTCATCACACTGCCATTGAGGTGTCTCCCAACAACGTAGCGGCTTATCTGTTGTTTCACTGTGAGACCATGCTTGCATTGCAAGTACGGGGATATACTTCTCTCTGTTTCTACCTAGGACATGCTTATTTCTGTTGCATTTCCATTACACCTCCCCTTTTGTCACTGAATAACCTTGTACTGCTGACTCTCAACTTTGGCATCCTTTTAGGATCTCTGACACCGAACAGACAAAGGACCCTGTATTGAAGTTGCTCTCCCTAAATAGAGGGACTAATATTGTGCTGGAAACTTTTATGCATGGATATATGTTTTGTGCACATACATGTATCTGGTGTGCATGTATGTGTGCTGTATGTTTTGGCATGCATGCACCAGCTTAATCAAGCAATCAAAGTGCACATGATCTAATGTTGAAATCAATGTGGCATGCATTCCCTAATATTTCTGTAGAGATGCACTAACTGAAATGATTTATTAGGAAACATCAGAAAAATGTAAGGTGAGTTACATTCTGCCACATTTTCAATTGTGATGTTTTTAAAGGCCAAGATGATGCCAGTTACATGCCAAATGAAGTGCCAGATGAGACTGGAGACCTGTCAATTATTCAAAACTAAAGCACTTTCTATTTTGGTATCTGCATGATATCAGAATCAGGTTTAACTGAAACTCAGCACTTAAGTAGTGTGAAACACTGGCCTAAACAATGATATCTCTTTCAGATTTGCTTTTCAAGACACAGAAATAATAGGAAAATCACCATCCCTCATAAACACATGGAGAGCAAGAAGAACCTTTATCCGCACATAGACAAATTCAGGTAAACAGTATTCTATCACACAAAAGAAAATCAGTGGTTTAAAGAGACTGAAAAATACTGATAAACATAATAATTCCTAAAAGAAGAGACCCATCTTTAGACAGAGAAGTGAGTGGTTTAATGCAATGAGAGGTAATAAATTAGCATAATTAATGTAAGATAATTTTATAGTGTCAGACTTGTAAACAAACTAGAAGATAACAAACTGATTATAAGCAACATTATCAGAAATAACCTAATTTTTGGAGTGTTTGCTTCAAACACATGGAACTATGCATAAGGAGTACTGAAACAAATGTCAGCTGCCTTTTTAAAAAAATTTGTTGTTGTTGTTAAGGCAAATATACAGAGAGGAGGAGAGCCAGAGAGGAAGATCTTCTGTCCAATGGTTCACTCTCCAAGTGGCTGCAATGGCTGGAGCTGCGCTGATCTGAAGCCAGGAGCCAGGAGCCAGAAGCTTCTTCCAGGTCTCCCATGCAGGTGCAGGGTCCCAAGGGTTTGGGCCGTCCTATACTGCTTTCCAAGGCCACAAACAGGGAGCTGGATGGGAAACGGGGCTGCCGGGATTAGAACCAGTGCCCATATGGGATCCTGGCCCATTCGAGGCAAGGACTTTAACCACTATGCTACACTATCATGCCAGGCCCTCAGCTGCCTTTTCTAGTGGTATTTTTAGACAGATTAAATATTTTGTCATGTTCATTCATACAATTTTCACTATAGTCATAAACAGAACTAAAAGTCAAATAAGTATCAAAATTACACCAGTCTAGTAACTCATAATGCAGTCTCCACAAGTTTCACAGAAAGTAGCTTAATAATGGGGAGTATTATGAGGAGGCAAAAATACAATTACAGAATTAAAATCCTTCTAACATCCAAGAAATACATAAATGACAAAAAGTAGTAACAAAACAATGATTTAGAAGGCAAGCCTAAACAAGTTTCTCTAAATGTGAAGGAAAAAGATGAAGAGGTAAAATACATGAGGGAAATATGTTAGGAACGTATGAGAAGAAGGACTTCTGTTTTTTTTTTTATTTGAAAGGAGAGCTGTTGGGAGAAATAACACAAAACAATGCCAGCATAGACAATAATGTTTCTGAGAAAATATGCCTAAAGTTAGGTTGAAAAACTGGTTATATAGAAGGCAGCGGAAATCAAAGTGGAATTTCATTCTCTGCAACATGAAATGTCAGTGGACTGTGAACAGCCGCAGTCTGAGCTGGAATTCAGTAGCTTGGTCACCGGGTAAAGTTTCTTCCATGTCAAATACATAAAGAGAGAGAGTATCCTGGGATATCCTTCAATGATGAAAAGAAAAGAGCTAACAAATCACACGCACACACACACACACACACACACACACACACACACACTTTTACAAGCACAGTGTGTGTGTGTGTGGAGAGAGAGATGGAGGCAGCTTAAAAACACTAGGCCGAGTGGTCTTCTTTAATATAACATAACTTTCTGGGAAAGTCAAAATTTCAGGAGACAACAAAGCATCAGTGTATGCTGAAGATTGGAGGCCGAGGCAGGGAGGGAGAGGTGAATGTTCACAACCGAGAGCACAGGGGATTTTTGAGTTGTGAAGCTATTTTCTATGATACAGTAATAGTAGATACAAATTACGAATATGTCAAAACTTACAAAGATATTGGTAGTGTATAAATGCCTAAAACAAATGGTAACAATGGCAAGAATTACACTTAATAAAGAGGGCAAATAACATGGGTCCAACAATGACAAAGACAAACTTGTGGCTAATACAGTGTTTGGAAAATTATTAGACTAAGCATTAGAACTTCTGCTAGGATATATTTAAAATTTATTTTGTTTAAACAGGTTTTAATGACTTTGCACCTAAAGTAGTAAGCAGAATAGTTACCTTTGAAATTCGGTCTTATTCTTGCATCATACCCTGATGTCCTCCCCATCAGTTTATCCAGAAAGTCAGAAGGTGACATTGGAGTAGTTCGAGATCTGGCACTATTTGTTTCCTTTGTGGCAACCAAACTACAAATTGAGAACAAATGACAGATTTCATTTTTTTAAAAAATCTGCATACCAGTTGTATAAATAGAAAGTAGAAACTGCTAAACAAACACACTATCGACTGTAGAAAAGAGAAGTTTAGGTACCAGGTAGTAAATATTGTCATAAAGAGGCAGATATTTATGAATTTATAATGCAAATTTATAACATATCATAAGCGCTCATATCAATTGTTAAATGTGGAATTACATTGTGTTGAACCTAGAAACAAAAACTCTTTTCAAACTGATACACTTTCAACTCTATATTTACCCAAAGTTGATTTCTGATTTCAATTTCATAATAAAAGTATCCTTAGCAAAATAAAAATATGAAGGCTTAGATGTGAAATACATTTCCTACTGCTTTTATTGATGAAAAATAACACCTTTCAGTTTTTGTGAATTTTTCTCTGTAGTAATAAAGCATCTTTGTAAAAGATAAAACTGTAAGGCTATTTTCTTCAGTTAGAATGTCCTTATGCCAGTTAACACATCCATTTAAATTCACTCTTGTTTCATTGATGTGTCATTAATCTATGGCACATTTTGTTCAGATCTAGAAAAATTAGCATATATGTAATCTGTGCATCTGGACGTTTTAAGATTAGAATCTGTGACTAAGAAAAATAAAATGTGCTTGCATTGTTGTGTTTTTTTTTCAGATATTTATGCTTTATGTGGCCAGTCCTGCAAGCCCATGGTGTGACTGCTGGGCCTCTCCCCAGCTTTACACTTGACTGTATATTGATCTTCAACAGAAGATCTGGGATTACTTGCTAAAATCAAATGATGCTTTCTACAGGACTTAGTTCAATAATGTGGAGCTAACCTTCTGAGTATGTGTGGTGCTTCAAATTGAGAGTGCAGAGTTAATGTTAACTTTCTCTCATTATCATCAACCACTTCATCCTCCAGTTCTATCACTCAGATCATCATTGCCAAGTCACGAACCACATCACAACATAATCAAATCATTAAGTCCTTTTTATTTATCCTGCCAGAATTGTGGTGGGTGATGAAAATGTACTGCAGACGCATCATCTTTAAATTGTCTATTAGAAAGATAGGTGCAGTGATTCATGCACACAGTTTAAAAATCTAATCTCAGTGAGAATGATATTTCTCGAATCATACTATCACAAATAATGCTATTAGCTGTTGCCCATTCTAGCACTTCTGTCTAAATTTGGGTAGTATAAGTTACTTATGACCTCAGTGACTCTCATTCTGTCATGTGTTTCCCCCCCAAAATAGGCTTTCATTTTGTTTACCAGTGATTTTATTACCCTTTGTTTTTAGAAAACACTGCTCAATCAGTGTTGTGATCACTTAGAAAGCTTTTCAGATGCAAATAAACCAGAATAACAAAAACCAAAAAAAGAAAAAGAAGATTCATTATATGTCCAATGATGTTAAAATATTCCCTGCATCATCTAGTCTTTGCTAACATTTTTCTATCCTATTAAGCAGCATGAGTTGAATACGGCTTTGCCCAAAAACCTGGGGCCGAAAGGCATTGTTGGTGAATTCATAGCTGCCTCTAAACCATCCTATGGTTCCCTTGCGTAATCCCTCCTTTTGATTATCAGCAGGTAGGTTTCTACATTTTCATGCCAACATACATAGCAAGTTTTTCTCTGAATCCATAATATTCTAAACTCCATCTCCTAAATTTAAAAAAAATGACTTTGCATACTAAACATTTGCACTGGATGCAGGAGCTCTGTTTCAATTATCCAGGTCAGTCCTGCCAGCCTATAGCCAACAACATGTATCTTTACACAGACACACTGCAGGTCTGATCAACAGCAGAAGGAAGACAATGCCACCAAGGAAAGCAGAACTTGAAGTGAGGTGCCCAGACAAGGAATGACAGAAGTCGTGAAAAACCAGAAGAGATTCAGGCCCAGAGCCACTGGGGAGCATAAAGACCAGCTCATGCCGGTTTTGATCTAGGGAGCCGACTCCAGGATTCTGGCTCCATAACTATGTGAATAAACGTCCGTGCTAGTGATAACTTCTTATAGAATCCGTGAGGAAGCTAACAGCAGCCTTCTGATTAATTTTTCACTTTAGTGTATCTTACTTTTTACCACCATAATGCACCTTTGGTTTATTTTTCATTTTTAATTCCTTTGTGCTGATGTTTTCTGCTTGGTGAAATGTTGTCAGAATTTCTTTTTCATCCCTGTAGACATAGCTTCCTTCTGTTCATTGTGTGCATGTTAAATGGCTGCTTAAAATCTTTGTCTTACCATTCCATGTCTGCTTCCTCAGTAAGTTTCTATTCACTGCTCTTTTTCTGTGTGTTGATTAAAAAGTTTTTAAATTTCTTCACATGTCTCATAAATTGCTATTGAAACGTAGGTGTTTCAAATCCTGCAATGTGGCAACTCTGACAATTATGTTTCTTATCTTCCCCGGAATGGATTGTTGCTGTTGTTTTAATAGACTTATTTTAAATTAAAGCTATAAAGTCTACATGCACTATTGTAGAGACAAAAAAAAATTATTTGGTTAGCTTGAGGAGTAGCTAGCAAATTTCTAGGACAAGAAAGTCTCCCATTATTGCAGGAGCTCTGTGTTCATGGGGTTTGGCCTTCGAAACAATCAAGTAGGTAAAACCTTTCGTTTTACCTTCAGTACCAGCCAAAAGAAGAGAGATAGGTGCCTTCAACATGTTTCCTGACCATGTAAGTCCTCTGAATGAATAGGGCCACACCATAACAGTGTATCGCTGACAGAATGATTTCAGACCACAGAAATGGTTTCTGTCATCATTCTGTACGCTAAAAGTCCAAGACTATGTTGCCAACAGGGTCAGTTTCCTCTCAGGCCTTCCTTCCTTCATTTGCTTGCGGATAAACATTTTCTCTCCATGTCTTCATCGTCTTTCCTCTCACTTTCCTAACATCTTCTTAAAACGAGACTAGCTGTTTCAGAATAACATCAACCCCTGTTGGCTTCATTTTACCCTAATGATCCCCTTAAAGATCTGTTCTCCTAAGAAAATCACATTCTGAGGTAGCAGAGATTATATCTTCAACATTCAATTTTTGGAGGGGCACAAATCATCCCATAACACTGGGCATGATCACAGCCCTGTCCACAGATACACCCTTCCAGACACCCAGGGATATATGCAACTTTTCCCATGCTGCTGCCTTTCCTGTTAAGGCTTCTAGTTTTGTCTATGACCTTTCTTTACTTATCATCCCTGCCTCAGGTGCGTATAATATAAACAAAAAGTTCTCCGAGTGTTTTTAACATACTTTGCAAGGAAAAAATTCTATAGTGGGTTTTAGGTGATTAATGTGATGTGATTTTATCAAAGGATATTTCTTGCTTGACTTTTGACATAACAAAGATGTAGAGACTGTCAGCTGGATGTTGTATTTCACCTACAGTATTCTTGTATACCAAAGAGAAGAATGAAAAAATCACAAATATTTACACACATCATTAATGAGTCCCTGACACACATATGTGCACACACACACATAAAAACATATATTCCGTGCTTGTATGGTCCCGAATTTCTGATTAATTCTTTTAGATCTTATTTTAAAGCATTATTGACTTCCAGCATCTTAAGTATTTCTTTTGCATATTTATAAAAGCAAGATACATACTGTTTAAATACAACAGACTTAGTCTTGATAGTTTTTGAAGCTAGTATCTTATTATTGATATTAAATAACATTTGATTTTTTGCTACATTAAAAAATTTTGATTAATGTGATAGTCATAGTTACTTGAAAATTGATCTGATTTAAGTCTTGTCAAAATTCCATTTGAAGTATGTTCTTGTCAGCAAAATTCGGTTTTTTCCAAATATCTAAAGATCAAGACATTGATTCACAGGAAAGGAACGTATTTAAAAATCCATTTTACAGAGAATTTGATTTTTATGAGAGCGCTTGGACTTGACCTTCCATTGACTGGTACACATCTCAAATGCCCAAAGAGCCAGCAGTTGCCAGGCATAACAGCAGCCTGAAACTTCATCGAGGTAGGCCCTGTAGGCAGCAAAGACTCAAGTATTTGGTCCCTCTTCAGTCGCTTTCCCATGAACATTAGCAGAGAAATGCATGGAAATCATTGGAGTACCCTGCATTCCAACATACGATGTCATTGTTGAAAACTGTGGCTTAACCCACAGCACCACAGAGCCTGACCTTAACCTTATTTTTTCTATCAATTTAAAATATATCTATCATAAAATATAAAGAGACATTATGATTATTTTAACATGTCATCAACATTAATAAATTTAGTAATCTGATTTGATTAATGATTTAAGATACATACTTGAAATAAGGGGGTGGAGGATAGCTAAGACATGTTATTTTAAAATCCATATGCAAATATTTATAATCCTTTCATAAATGGAAAGAAAGCCTCCTAATTTTTATCACATAAGGTACCTTTTCTTAAACCATAATGAACTCAAATATCTGGTGTCTATTGAACCATGAATTTTGAGTTCTTTGCACTGTTTTAGATGTAAGGCACCTTGCTCAAAACACAGTATATGACACATGGTTTTGAATCTTAATGAGCTCACAGTTCTACACATTGTTCCTCTGAAGTGTTCAAATTCAGCAGAGCTAGAAAATGGAAAACAATGAGCAAAATATTGCATGGCTCACTTGGGCTCTTCCGATACTGTGAGCAAGGTTATGCCAGACATTTGAAACCAAGCTCTGTGGATTGATGCCCATAAAGTATCAGAAAACTTTGAGTAAAAATGTTCCAATTTTCTTTTCTTTAAAAAAAGGATTTATTTTTATTGCAAAGTCAAATAATCAGAGGAGGAAGAGAGAGACACAGAAAGATCATCCATCCACTGATTCACTCCTCAAGCAGCCACAACAGCTGGAGATGAGCCAATCTGAAGCCAAGAGCCAGGAGCTTCTTCCAGGTCTCCCATGCAGGTGCAGGGTCCCCAGGCATTGGGCCATCCTCCTGTTTTCCCTG